CGGCTCGGGGGAGAGGTAAGGGGAGATGAGTGAGGGAGACATGAGAATCTAAAAGTGTGCAACGGTGACGGAGAGAGGAGAAGTTAAACCTATATGTATATGCATACAACGGGCTATATATCTATACCTATATAGTTGTACACTGCTCATACGAAAAAAAGCTGCGCGTAATACTTTTCTCGCTTTTCCTCCCTGAAAGAAAAATAATTTTTTTAAATACAGTTGATCATTCGTTCAAGTATGAAAACAAAAACATAATTGTCAGGTTGATAACAATTTTTTTTTCATTGTTCAACAAATGACAAGCTCAAGGCAATTAGTATATTATTTTGCTTCATTAATAAACGAGCACCTTTATCCCAATAATCCGGGGCGCTCAATTGTTCTTCACTTTTACGATAAGTGAAATTATTGAATAATAAATAAAGGCATTCACCACAACAACACAGTACGCTCAAATATTTTTTGTGCTACGTAATATTATTTACTAATACACTGAACAGCTTTACCCAAATGCCCCATTGCACTGATATCTTTATTTGTTAATTTGTATTTTTTCACCAATAATACAGAGCTTTACGGCTATAATACGATAAAGCTTAAATCAAATCTCAAGCTTCGAAACTTTACGATAAATATATGTAAGTTTTAGTCATCCCATAAACCAAGCTTTGTTAGCTTAGGTGGCAAAAGAAGGAGGGTGAAATTTAGTTTTGCGGCTCCGGGTTCTAATCTCACTTGGTGCAATTTTTTTTTTTTTATCATTGCAACACTACTTTAAATGATTTACACTTCTTTCTTATGATTACTTACGTATTTTGTTTTACCAGTGACTAAAAAAAAATTTTTTTTTTTAATATTGATACACGATCCAACAAAATTTTTTTCCATTTATGGCTAAAAAAATCATTCGACGCATTAAGTAACAGCTTTTTAAGTTCCGTTAATCATTTCAATTCCATATTTTAGTTTGCATTACAACTAATGACGTTATACTAACGAATTCTTGAATTGCTCGAAGGTATTCCAAAAAGTAATTTTAAACTTTTTTTTTAAATCATAAACAAAATAATTTTTTTTAATCTTTTGTACATTAAAAATGATTGATTAGTATTTCTTAGATAGTGATGTAGAAAAAATTACTTGTTTCATTGCCAAAGAATAAAGACTGTTTTTGTGTTGTCTAAAAAATTTACTAGACATTACTATTAT